ATCCTGATAAATGTTAATCCCGCGAAATCCTAACGGTCGAAATTGTAAATGTTTATTTTTGGATACTTTGTGCGATTCTTGTCGAAATTTAGAGGAAAATTTACAATCTTTTACAAACTGAATCAATTTAGCATATTTGCGTATGTATCTGTACGTGTTTGTATGTCTCTATTTTTGTGTTTGTTTATTCCTGTGTGTGTGTTTTTCTGCATATATTTGTTTTTGTGTTTGTGTATCTGTCAAAAATCAAAATTTGTTTCAATCTCTCTGTGGCACTTATCCAATGCCAACAGTAAAATCAGCTGGCAAAGTTGTCTTACGGCTTTCTTTTTCCAAAATTTTTTTAAAATCTGCTTAGTCCCATTTTCTGTTGTTTTCTGAGCTTTACCCAGGTATTTTTCTGTTTCATCGTTTTCTGTGTAATGTTGTAGGCTGTGTGTTTTTCCCAACATTCAAAAAGAATTAAAACACAACGAATCTCATTACAAAATATCAACTCTCTCTCTTTGTCTCCTACTCGTCGATTACGAAAAAGCATTTGAAGTCATCGAGTTGGTTGCTGTGCTCAGATCTGTTGTGATAGCAGGGACTAGCGAGACTTGTTTTGTTTCCTGTTAGACATAAGCACGGTGATTGATTCGTTGATAAGTAATGTATGAAGCGATAGCTACTAATTAACACATCAAAAACGAGCATGATACAAAGTGCAGGTATGTTTGTGGTCAAATCGCAGTCAGGCACCATTGACTTTGAAGAAATTTGCAGTTACGTCTATCTCAGGCAGGAAGTAAATATGCGTCATAATCTCCAGCCGGACATTACACGTCGAAATAATCTCCAGCTGGTTGGCGCAAATTTCACAGCATCGTCACTGTCCTCAAGGTGTTAAGGAGGAATAACGTCTGCGTTGTAAAACATGCAAATGCGGAATATTGTATCTTGTGGAGGCGTAATACATGCACTACGATCTTTTATCTTGTGCAACTGATGGAAAAAGTGTTTGCTGCGATGAAAAAAGAGACCGGGCTGAGGATACCTGGAGTGACCATATAAAAAATAAAAGGCTCTCTGACCTTCAATGGTGCCGGATAGAACTAAAAGCAAGTAAGAACAAGAGGACCTAACATTGCTGTCGCTGATTGGCGTCCTAAAGGCATCGAGAATCTGCTGTTTCTGCTCTGCGCTTTTGATGAAATTGTATAGGCCTCAGTCTTTATGTTCCGGGATTCTGCCGATGCTTATCCGGTAAAATTTCGCGGACTTTGCTCCTACACAGCAATCCTGAGATGGCAGCAATGATGCATTTTAGTAATAGTGGTACAGTATTCTCCTACGCCTTGGACCAATCCATTCGTCGTTGGAATGCATGATTGAGTGCTGTGGAGATGCGGAATGCACAAGACCGTAGTCAGCCGAGAAGTTGCTGATTGATTACAAAGGGAGAGACAGCAGAAAAGAGACAGAGAGAGTGAAAGATCCTGACTCTGAAGCAAAAGGATTGGTCAAGGAATGGTTGAATGCAAAGGGCTGGTTTTTTCTGGATGTGCACGCTAATAAACAAACAT